CATCCGGACCGGGAGCTCGGTGGCGCTTGAGAGAACATATGCAGTCGTAAACCTCCGAGGCCGTAGGTGGTTCCACGTTCACCGTCCAGGGTTCTACTTCACTTGCTGGCTCTAGATGAGTGCCGGCTGGTGGCCAAGACATTTGTTGTTCAAAGTATTCAGCCCACCGGTCAAGGCGTTCCTCCTTATTCGTGATGGTCGTTCCATTCTGATGCTTGATGCTTTCACTCACAGGTGGTTTCCGGATCTCGTTTATGATATCCTTGTTTTCTAGGCGCGGGAGATCTCCGTTTAACACTAACTCATTTCAAGCCCCGCACTACAATCCGACGCGATGGTTCCCTTAATCATTTTAACAGAGTTACATATATATGATTTGAATATGTCATTTGGTCGTCTTGTGTGCTTAAACTGTGTTATTCTGGAATAAGAATAGTGCACCAACTTGTTTAGAATTTTAGCGTACTTCCCTGAGGTGAGAAGTCTGTCTGAACGCACTTCTGGTGATCCATACTGATAAATGACCTTTGTGGAGAATGACAAAATTTCGAGAAATGAGCTGGTGGAGTGGGAAAGGTTTAAGGCCGTTGATCGTGACTTTATTGTACTCAATTCACAATACAATAACCAGACCACTCTCTTGATGGATGTTTTTGATCAATTTTGGTTAGCGGAACTCACCGACGCGAAACGCTCTTAAAACCGTCGTGGTCATCAGTTGCACTCATTCAAAAGTGAATATTGATGGTAATAGCCAAGGATTACTACTCTACAAGCTAGAAATACTTCTGAATGCTTGTGTACAAAAAACAGGAACGTCACAATTATCGCTCTCTGGGAAGACCACTTCGCACAAGAGGTCACTTTTAGTATGCCCATTGAAGCTTCCACTGAAGTATGGGGCCCCGGAGGCATGATCTGTCAAGTCCACCACCATGAAGCACTTTTTCGAAACACATCTCGGTCAAGGTTTTTCTCGGCGGAAATTGAAAATTCATTTGTTCTGCTCTCAAACCTACAACTAGATCTTATTTTTCTTGTGGGTGCTCGTTGCAAGTTCGGTGGATGTTTTTTGGGTTATGCTGGCCGAATACGTGGTGGTTAGGGCACGAAGCCTTTTGATCGGAAGGCCATGATTCGAACCCGGCACCTGACTTTTGACTGCTCCTGTCTAGGTTTAGACCATCTGGCAGTAGCTGGACCTCCGGGCTTCTTTTGGTTTACACAGCTTTTACGCCCCAGAAGAATTGAACTGCTATTTTTGTTCAATTTTGCCCGTCTTTGATTCAAATGGGTTTCCATCACCGTAATTTTGAAGGGCACCATCCGCCGGAAAACATCAATCGATTGAGGGGACATTTCCAATTAGAGTTAGACAGCGCAGTGGGCCTCTTTAGAATTCAGTAACATGGAGCTTCACTTCTAACAGACAGAACCGCTCAACTTGTTTCGGTACCTCTGCAAAATTGATCACGAGTTGGTCAATCTCAAAAGCATTGCGTGTATTAGTTACTATCTACCTAGGGGTCACTTGTCAGCACAGCTCAGCGGTGAGCTTTCACATTATCCCATGTCATATATTGCTTTGCAATTTGTACATCATCCTCTGCCAGGAACTTTATTGTCGAGATATAGGAGCTGAGTTGAATGTGAACGCCTCGTTTCCTCTGAGCATTTGCCGCTTATATATATATATATATATATATATATATATATATATATATATATCGTTCAGCTGTAACACCCTTCCGGTGCCTAGCTGCCATGTCACCAGAAGGAAGCACGTGGTCTGGGGTACTGCCAGGTTGCCCAAGCCTAAGCAGGGGAAGTCAACAGGTAGAGGTCGGGTTCGAACAACGGACCTTACGGTCAGCAAATTCTCACTCTAGCCACTATGCGATCCCGCCCCCGATTCTATCACTAGGCGACTATTATTCAACATTTTCTCTTAACCTTTTCTCTAATTAAATGGTATTGTTGAGACCAAGGAATCTGGGTAGTTCATTTAACACATAATGCCGCTGCAGCAAAAACAAGTAGATAAGCTTTACTTATTGGGAGAGACGAAATATCCATAATTGTGGAGTGCCACTTGTCCAGGTGATTAGCGAATCCATGTCCAAATACCTGACAAAAACTAATGTATTTGTCACAGACTTGCTTCAACTGAGAGAAGTTGGAAGAGAAAAAGTGGATTTATTGATTTTCGAGTGACCACACAAACGCTTATTTTTTTAAACGCTTGAAAACCCACTTGAATCGTCTCGCCCCTGTCGCTTAGTTAATCGTAGATAAACTCGTTTTTATTGTCCTTGTTTAGAACAACCCCAATTTTTTAGTTCCGGGTGATCTAACAGATGGTGACCTTTATGCTTCATACAGCTTACTTCGATTTAGTCCGACAATTCGTGTCTTCCTTTTTTCCAGCCGGAGAGGCCAGTTTTCTCGCTTTACCAGACCAACTTGGATTGGGCAGACACCGGGTTCTCTCCACCTCCGAGACGCTCGTCCCTCACCCGAGCGAATAACATGGTCGGCGATTGGAACTCACAGTCGATGCCAGCTTGGTCGGAACGTCGATTAGGTCGCATCCCCCTGGCTGAGACGCAAGCGAGCGTGAAGTATGTGAATCCGTTCTATGTTGCCGTGTCCTGGTTGTACAGAAAGTCCACTTCCTTTTGATCATGTTTTTAGGTTATCCATTACTTGATTGATCCAGGTTTTTATTAGCATCCGAGGGCAGTAATGGAAAGCTCTTCTCACAGACTCAAGTGGTATATGGCAATGATTTAGAGGAAGTCATGGTTTAACAGCGGTCTTGGTCCCTTTTCAGAGGCGGCAAACACCAATGGCTCAGTCACATAGCCTGTGGCATTCTTGTTACTGAACTACACCCTTCCGTGTTTAATCATTCTTACTACCAAAGATTCACACCAACATAAGGACGCAACCTCAGCATCTTGACAGCTTCTTTCTAGGCTTTGACAACATGACCACATCTCAGCCCTTCTGCTCCCTTCTGGCGGCATGGCAGCTAGAACGAGTATTACAGCTGCACGACTGTTGTGATTGATTCACCTTTGAGCATCCGGTTTTTGATGAAACATCCGTTCTCTGAAGTTTGTGTGTTCTGTCTGTGTAGATGCATCTGGGATTTAGTGAACACTAAGCTGATTACAGCGCTGGTTTTGGGTTTTTCTTTACTCTGGGTGCTCTATCATAGTGATGAGCTAAGCCTTTCTCGCTACAGACTTGAGATCTCCCAAATCCTATCCGATGGTTCGATAAACCCATTCATTTTATTTTTACTCCACACATCTTCACTCCCAATTTTCATATTTCAGCTCTTCCGACGGAGAAATTCGTGCGGTTGTGTGTATTCAACTGTTTTAAGCTGGTATTCATTAACCAACTACCTACTGATTTGGTTTTCCCCGGGGAGACCCACCTGAATTCCAGATGAATCTCTCTTTTATGATGTCCTTTCATTCATTCACATTGCACCNCCATTTTCACTCCCCATTTTCATATTTCAGCACTTCCGACGGAAGAAATTCGTCGGTTGTGTGTATTCAACTGTTTTAAGCTGGTATTCATTAACCAACTACCTACTGATTTGGTTTTCCCCGGGGAGACCCACCTGAATTCCAGATGAATCTCTCTTTTATGATGTCCTTTCATTCATTCACATTGCACCTGGAGCACAGGTACTGAATGATCCTCCTCCAATAACGGACACTCGTGTTTTTTGAAAGCTGTACATATTGTGTCTTTGGGTCCAGTACATGGAATTGCTTCTACAGTGTCCGCCAGTCGACAAAAGACCTCTCAACAATGACCTTTTGTCTATTATATTCGGAAGCTGGTTTGCTCTGGATGTTATGGGCAGGGCATCAAACCTATTTCTACCATTAAGCTTAATAGCGAATAGTTGACAATTGCAGCTTCCGTTCATTTGGAGGCACCATGATTGGGATCTGCTCAATAATGGAATATAATCCCAAGGCAGTACTCAAATCGACGTGGGCTGATTTCGATCTTTTTTCACTATAATTTTGTTCCTAAAGCTAGGACGTGAATAACCTTTGGGTGCTTTGGAAAACCACATCCCATCATTTTTTAAAGTCCCTATTTCGGCCCAGTGAGCTTCCCCTCCCAAGAAGGGACATGTTACCTAAATTGCTCACTGTTCCCACCATGTGAAGTACCATAGAAACACTAGAACCAGTGCAGACATGGATAAAAAATCTTCCACTTAGTAACAACCAGCAGCCGTCTGTTTCCGTAAAATCTAGGTTAAATATCCGGGAGGCTCTAGCGAGAAAAATATGAACAGGAAGTGTAATATTCCCCCCACGGAATATTTTTATTGACTGTGTTTCAACGTAGAATTTCACTTAGTAGTCCTTGATACGTTTCTGTCCACAGCGATGTATTTGAGTACCACCACTTTCCATTTCCCACGTCTAATTCCACCTTATGGGACATAATGTTTCACGATATACACTTCCAAATGGCTGATCTGGCGGGCTAACAGACAGCCCCCTTGTTTGCCGTTTGGAGCCATTGCGATTTCTACCATGTCATGCTGGAAATAGCTCATCTCTATCTATCTCTAGGACACTGGAACATATATCTCGCTAGTATCTTTCGTCTTCATCCGTACACTCTTTCTTCATCTTCCGTTGTTCTACCGTTCTCTCACCAGGATGTCTTATTTCGCACGGTATCCGTTGCTACTCGAATGACAATAGGGAGGATGTTGGCTATCGTAGCTGTGTTACGCAGCGAATTCGGTATTCTGGTGCAGATTGAGTCCTATGTCTCTCCTGTGTTATTGTTTTTTTAATGAAATCCACTGTAGAATGTATAGCTTTCATCTGCATCCTTGTGCCCGTTTTTTTTCATTCAGAACTTTATCGAACGTTTCGACTCCCACAAAGGTTAGAGCCTCACCTGTCAAAAAACCCAGAACCTTGTTTATCGATGGTTCAACTGGTAAGTTCACTCGTGGGCTTCGTGTCATGTGTCACCCAGTTTATCATTCTTATGGGAATCAGGATATCCCAGAACATTCATGCTAACCGGGCATTGGCGCTCCAGTGAGATTCCCAACGAATTATTTTATGTCACTGATGGCCCGTGTGTTCAAAGCGGCAACCCCACGTTTTCCTATTTTGGATACTGTATATTGCTTTGGGCGGACAGATACTACTGAGATAGATTGCTGCATCATCCTCCTACATGACCCACTTTGGCCATAACATCTCCTTGTTCGAAAAAAAATTAAAAGCAAGTGAGGACGACGTTGTAGCTTTATAGGTAGATTTGACAAACCCACCGAGGGTACATAGCCAAAGTAGTAAATCGGGGCTTCGTAGGAAGCGTTTTCAGGATATCACAAATTCCATATCGCCCACAATTCCCCGCGGTTCTCCATCAGTGGGAATCATCCTTATTTGTCTTGTAAAATGGTGCAAACTCACTACAGTGTACTTGTGCCTGGATTGATGTCCTTCATGCTATTATATTTTTAACCATTAGAAAACATTTGCGTCATCTCCGTGTCATTTCACTTGCTTTGCGCTCGTTATATATCGTTATGTATCATTCTCCATCAAATCAACAAGACATTGGTATCCACATCTATCACATCAGTATTCAGTGCCGTATCCAGCTCGACGAATTCCTCGACCTAGAGCTACTGATTCTGAGCTCCCTACATTGAGACTATTATCACACCTCCCTCACCAATCCCTACATCTTTTACAAACAGAATTTGTTTCTGTCTGCAAAGCCCTCCACGCATGTATGTATTTGACAATTATTCAGATCGTGTGAAAAATTCAAGGTTCCATAATGTTCGTCAACAATAGTAATAAATTTACTGTAGAAATTTCCGTATCCTTGTTGGGAAAAATGCTATAGTTTTACTGAATGTACCTCCTTGTGCAAACTGTATGACAATATATAATATGGATACGTAAGCTCTTGAGTCACATTACCTCAATCTTTTCGAAAGCAACATTGGTAGGATACCCTGATCACGGCGTCGCATTGAACTCAGGTCGGATACTGTCAAGTCCTAACTACGACCAGTTCATTTGGCTGAAAGAGCAGCTCCATCAGATGCTATGGCACAAATGCTTCGATCGAACAACTATTCTGCTCCGATTTGGCTCCTCCCCATCATCATCATCAGTGAAGACAACAGGAGACATGAACATTGGTGCTCTATTTCCGTAAAAGCTTGTCAGTTTCTTTGAATAAAACCCTATAAAATATAAAATAAAAATCAGGCGGGGACCTAAGGCTAGCTTACTACAAAAATTCAGGGTACATACACCTCCAACTCTCAGCCGAACAATCTGAGTTCATCCGCTAGTCAGCCTAGAAAAATGGATCAATTCGTGTGTGTATTGACCTCCGAATACTGAACAAGCACGTTTCCTTTATCATCAGCGGACGTACTAATAAATAAGGTCTTCCTGTCCTAAACGTCGTCTGATTCGGACATTTGACGTGGATATTTTTATATACTACTTATTCTTAATTTTAGACATTTCATTTCATTTTTGACAAAATGTCTTGTACCAACGTGAAGTGCTGCGGACGAGACTTAACAGAGTATCAACTGCCAAGCAGGAATTTATCACTTTCATCACAAGACCCGAGCGATTGTATTGCTTGTGTAGAGATTGTTTGTGTATTTGGCGACCCGCCAAACGCGTGCGTCACGGCCGATCCTGCTCATTGGTTTCGCTTCACATCCAACCCTTCACGTTTGGTGCATCGCGCATTCATCGAGTAAAGGCGGATTGTTTTTGTCAGTATTACTGCAGGTGTGGAGCTTTGGAATGCCATCCCTTGGCTTATATACGCCGTAGTTGGAGACGTCTGTGGTTGGTGAATTTGCGTTGCTCATATCTGAGTTATAGATATCCTTCCGTGGATTGTCATTCGTTTGCGATGTGTGCATAAATGTAACTTGCTCAGCAGAAATATCGCTCTTTGAAACCAACACTTACTCAAAGTTGGTATCGAGCTGAAGTCGCGTTTTACAGGCTTTATTTTTGTCTGAGAATCTCAAATAATCGAATTAGTGCAAACGTTCGCATAGCTTGGCTTGTTTTTTTGGGTTTCGGATGGTCCGTCATTCAACGATTACTGTGCCATTCGCCATGGAACAAGTATCAGCTGCTCGGCATTCACACCACAAGACAACATTGTNGAAGGGCACGACAGTTTTTGTAAACTTTCCACCTCTGTTTTGCTAAATTTTGGGCCCTATGGTTTGTTGGTTGTACAGGTGGGATTCCAAAGTAATGACCCATAGTTACTGTTTTGTTGTCTACTTTTCAGTTCAGTCTTCAGCAATGTGTCATACGTGCTCTTCTTAAAGGGGCGGTCTTCGAGAGATAACGTGCTCTTAGTTAAGCTGATTAACTGTGTAGTGCTTTAAAATTCTATCTTGTTTCCAGTCCCTTGTCCAGCTGACCAAACTAGCTCCCAAATAATCAACATTTTGTTTTTAGATGAATTGCAGGGATCCGCCATGACCACTGAGCCCGTCGTCAGGAACGTGACCAACACAAAGTCCCAACAAAACAAAGGGGCCAACACACGAAAGAAAAGACTTTCCAATCCAAAAGTGGACGGTAAACAGCGATGTCTAACCGATTTCTTTCGTATTTAACCACACTGTGTTCAATGGATCAAATATACTTTGCCAAATGGGCGCTGTGCATTTTGTTGCCGTGCTATTTACCCGCGTCCTGCTATCCACTAATCGTTCTTCTCCAGAATCCTCTTTCATATCGGCTCATAAAAGTCAGATTTACCCGGAGCTTTCCACTTATTTTATTACCCTATTTTGTGTTATGTGCTTTTCTATCCTTAATGTATTTTTCACCTTCGATATCATTTATCCGATCGTTCATCTATATGTCACAAACCTTTTGAGATGTAGTTTTTTTAATGTAATATGAACGCTTTAAGTGGGCGTATGTTTCCTCTCTCTCTCTCTGCAACGCATCTTTTGAACATGGCGGGGAGAAAAATGTGACTGCGGGCTCATAGCGTTTTTTGTCAACCTTTCATTGGCACATACACGTGAAACGGGGCAAAACCACATACGTATGTGGCTGTTTCGTGTATGCATCCATATCGTCCGTCATTTAAATTTCTCTCTACTTTGTTCAAAGGGATAGAAAGACCCAGGGTTTTTTTTATTTATACACTCTATGGCTATGCGAGTTACCGCAGTCTTTCATCTTTGTCATGCGCGTGGATCAGTTAAGTTTATCAGCTGTAAACAATATACTAGGGGTGCGTTGTTTCCAGATGCAGCAGTTTCGGTCACCGGGAAATAAAACAGGGTGGATTGCTCTGAAGGAACGGGAAACTGGTTAGTTGCCTACTGAAGGTAACAACTTTGATACAACAACACAACAGATTTTGTGATCGAGTCACGTATGTCAGTGTCGTTAGCTACTGACCAGTTTGGTCCCCGGGTGCCCATCCAGGGTGTGCCAGTTGATAGACCGATTGGATTTACTGATTAGTATTTTCGAACTTACCAGGTCATAGACTGTCCACTTCTAGGTCTCTTCCACTCAGTGCGGGGCTGGGCAAAGCGTGCTCTGCGAGACATACGGTCCTCAGGTGTGCGAAATACATTATCTAAGTAATGTAGCTCATCCATCGTGGGAGAGTTCCAGTTTGCTGAAATCATCTGGTATACCTCAGTATGGTTAACCCTATGCTCCCACCAGGTAGCCAACGCTTCGCAGACATTGATGGTCAGATACTAATAGTATTCGCTTAGGGACCACGCTTCCGATTCACGAAGCAGTGTTATCCGCACCGTACGCTGTACTCTTGACATACTAACTGATGTCACTCCGGCGACGTGGGTGGAATTCGGCTGAAGCACCTCTTCCGTGCCACACGAAATGAAGGAGTCCATGGCTGGTTTGCGTCTGGTGGCCTTCAAGTAAATCTAAGTGAGCGCTTGTGCTGATAGTGCCCCGGAACGCGTTCAGCATACAACTGAAGAAGTCGCTTCCCATTATTCATATGCTGAGTTCAAACTTCAAATCTATAATCTGGCTGTGCTTCTTCCAGACCTGGATGTCCGTATCGTCCGCGAGGGTAACAGTCTCGACAGATCTTGACGAAAACCCATTTTTCTCAGCCTCGGAAATGCAGTCTGTCGAAATTATTCTTATGCGACAAACAAACTTGGTCGATTGCTTCGTTCGTAATTGAGCCAGACGACCGTACAAGGCAAATACGACTGTCTACTGGGATCCAGAACAGTGAAGGGCTTTCAGCCTTGGTGTTGAGTGCAACCTCCACAACCTATATTACGAGCCATTGCATCAGAATCATCGGATACCCGAAGAGTGAAACGTAAAACAACCGAGCTCGCCGTAAACGACCTGAGGCGCACAAGCAAAGTGAGGTGTATGCGCGTTTCGGAGATACAACTTTTATCGACAGGGAGAATCCCATACTGCCGACCGTGAGTATTCCATGTTGTTCTGCGTTTTGATTAACTAAGTACTCAAAACTGGTACATTGATTCCAGATCGTCTACAAAACCATGCAGGTGTGCTTTGTAGCGTCACTATACAGAGAATCCCTTGACATACCCAAGATGTAGTCTTGGGTGGACTGAGCGGCATGTATTAGCGCGCGCAAGACAATTGTGCTACTGCCACTGCTAATTTTGTCCAATATTTTGCTCCCAGAGTGGTCTAAGCAGAGTAGGCAGGCTGCGCTCTTCTTGAGAGCAAATTTCCTATGGAGTTAATCGCAGAGGCCCTCGAAGTTGTTGATTTGTGATAACGTTCCTTACTAATGCTGTAGATCTCTTCAAAAATGGCGGAAAATTATATGACGAAGGGTGTGGGGGCATAAGGATGCAGTCTCTAACTTCTGGACAATTTCATCCTTCACCGCATGAAAGAATATCAAAATAAAGTACTGCCGGACAAAACAATTTCCGATTTTCATATAGGTACGTCGCACTTTAAACAATACAGGACGAAAGTTCACACACCACATCGACCACACGCGGAAATGGCACGCATGTGACGATACCTAGTGTGGAGTTACAGACGTGGCTTCCTAGAACGTCTCAGGTTACACCGCGAGGGTGGGAAAAAAGGAATGTCTACTTCGCTGTGCTAGTCCTCTGTTACTTGTAAGTTGCAGTCAAAGTATTCTCTGGGTGTGCATTCAAAATTAGCCCCGAGTACATCGGTTACCTGGGTGTTACAAATAGCTCGGCTCATATCTTTTAGTTGACTCCTACATGCCGCACCACTTTCACCTCCATATTCAACAATACCGTCCCTCTGGACTTCAACTACGACGCCGTGGATTAAGTGAAAAACGTGTTAACTCAACGGTTCTGGAGAATGTGAACAGTCGCCTGTTGGACACCTCGGGGCAGGCAAAGTGTGTCTGTGTTGCACAAAACCAGACTGTCACAGGAAGAATACGTGAGATTACGGGCAGAATAAGCAAAAAGTATAACAGGATGGCTAGTAACTTGGCGGGTTTCATGTAAACACGGCGGAATGAGACGACTTTATGCGAGAAAGTAACATGCTCGTTTGGTACGCGCCGAACGGGTAGGGTCGTTTGTGGATGTGATTAGCGCGCATTGCCTGGATGGTGTGCCATTTGATTCACACTTTGTTGTATAGTCGGCACTATAATGGGTAGGGAGGGCAGAAGTGCGAGATGTGAACAGACGGACCCAAACACCGTGATTAAAACATGCATGCCTTTGCAGCTGGCTCACAAGAACGAGTGATCAGCTTGGAGTTAATAGAGGAAGATAGGCCATGCAGGAAGGCAGAATCATGGAAGGTATAAAAGAGTATAACGGTAATAAAAGAAGCTAATAAAGCGTTTCAGTAGCGCTCATTCAGCAAGTGGGGATGAAACAGGAGAGCGATAAGATTTACAATTCATGGGCTACGGTAGAAAATAGCATGCATAGTTGAGAGATGGATGATTATCTGATATTACGTGGTGCGCAGAAAGAGGTGCGCAACTGATGCTGGACGCCGAATGAGTCTAGCGGGTTAGCGGTTCAAAACAGACGGAGACAAATGACTGGAGAAAAATGTGAAGTGCGTTGTCATGTTGCACGTTTGGAGGATGAGGTGCCACCAGTTTGGCGCGTTTACAACCAAGGAAATGGAGCATTGGCCATGTCTAGAGTATTGTGTCGGAGGAGTCGTTTCGCAGATCTATAGTCAGCCCCCATTTACTTACACGTAAGACAGCAGGTCTTGGTTTGCACGCCTTGATTTTGTAGACAATATACACTGTTAAATGAATAGGCTGTCTGATATCGTACCCAAATCGCTCGAAAGCCATGTGTCATTCTCTCAAGCTCACCTTGCGCCTGACCCGCTTGTTCTGACACGAATGTTCCGTGAGCCATCACCTATTCACAAGTTTGTTCTCCATCCTATGTTCACTGCATTGTACAATCCTACAAGTATTTTATCATCCACATCAGCAACCGCAAAACTTTGTCGCGAGATATTACTTACTAGCTGATTCACTGACGTATCTTATGCCGGTCATCGTGTTTAACAGAACCTACGACGTCTTCTCCAGCCGAATAGAGGAGAATTAAGCAAGTTGAAGAAAGACGACATTATTACTATCAAGGGATGCCTGACGGCCATCGCGGACAAACTGGATCACATTACCATAGCGGAAGCACTAAGCAATGACGTGACTACGAACCAGTTTCTAGAGGACACTGCAGCTAGAAACTGGTTGCAGAATTAATGGAACCCTGAAGAAACACTTCAATCCACAAAGCATTAGAAAAAGGATGGTATTGGAGAGTGCAAGATAAAAAACCAGCTTTTCCCCATTTCGTCGGACTACAGAAAGTACACAAAGAGGCAGTACAACTAGAATCATTCACATCACTCCCAGAGACACAAATCCAAAATCCTTTAAAAGAGTTGTGGAGGAAGTTCAAAAATATTAGCTCAGAAATACCCAATGGTTTTAGCAAACTGAAGGACAGATCAATGAAGACAAAATAATGTGAACTCACTATTTACATCCGTGGACCTAAACACCATCAGGATGACTGTTGCTTAACTGTTAGATGACCGTGGCGCATTGAACGTATCCTGGGAGAAGGTAGACTTCTGCAAATTTCTCAACACATACCTGACCGCACATTTTGAATTCAGTGGACAGCATTTTGAACAAGTTCGGGGAACACCTGTGGGGTCCCCGCTTTCAAGGTTTATTGCGAAAACCACCATGAAGAGACCGAAACAGATTGTACTGCAAGATATGAATCCCAAATTGGGGATCCACCGCGTAGGCTATATCTTTGTCTCCATCAAAAGCAGTTAACTACGGCAGACAAGTCAAATAAAGATGACGATTTTGTTGATATGCGATTCACAGAGGAAGGCGAAAAAGATAAAATCTAGCATTCTCGAATTGCCCTATTAAAGGCCAAAAAATGAACAGCCAAAACAAACGTCTACTGAAAGGCAACACACGTTGACCAAATCCTCAGCTAACACACTAAACACACCAACTACCAGAAACAAAGCTGTCCTCGGGCGCACACCGCGATGCTGATGAAGCAGAGTTAACCAAGGGTGAACGAATGTACAATATCTTTCCAGGGTGTGAAAGCTTGATTTGGCGAGCATTCAAGAAAAACCAGCTCAATCAACCGAAAACCCCGAAAGTTACTGCAAGACTGCTACGACAGCACAAAGTGACGATGGCTCACAAACCAATGGACACATCGCAAATAGCACTGTCAAAATCGGCAGTATGAGTCGCAGTTGCGAGGGCCAACGACAATAACAGAATCTATTGTGAATGTTGCAACAGAAACCACGCTGGTAGGACTGGAAGGAAGCTTTTCACCTGGCTGTTGAAGCGTAAACTTGCTGTCAAAAACACGAGAAATTACCACTTGTGCACGAAG